GTAGGCGCGTAAGGCTGACAGCTTCACCGCCATCTGTGAGCCGATTGTCTAGAAAATGTGGGAGCCTCGATGTCTCACAAACCTATGGGCCTCCAAAGCCTGTTGAAGGGATAGCTTTACCGTTGCCTTTAACACATACCACTAGGCCATATTCCATTTTTCTTGTAAACAAATTTATTCCTTTTCAGTATGTAATTATACCGAAACTGATAATGCATCACATTACCTTGAAATCATTACAAAACCAGACAAACACCGACAATTCTAACGAAATTATTACATCTAAGTAGTTCGACTCCCTGCAGCGGTAAAGGATTTTTCTCTTCTCCACAGCGTTCAAATCAGCCCTGGAGCCCACTCAGCCTCCTATCCAATGAGTACCGGGCGTTATTTCCATTGGGGTAAAGCTGCCGGGGCGTAAAGCTGATCACTCACCTCCAGCTAGTTCCGAGGTCAAGAATTCTGGAGCTACACCACCACTTCCTTCTATGTCTTCAAAGCGCCTAGTGCTTAAGTAAGATCAGAGACGCCTTTAAATTTACTTTTTACAAGGAATTAAGAAATTGCTTGTTTACGCCGTCACTATTCAGAACTGCAATGGCTCAACTGATCTCTTAACTATTGATAAGTAACTAAACATATAGGACAAAGCCTTTATATCCGGCCATGGAGACTCTGTTTTTTTTTTCCCTTAATGGGTTTTATTTTGGATATTTATTTATATTTGTTTTTCGGTTACAAACTGGTTTCCTTCTAACGCGAGAGCTTACTTCTAAAAACGTACAGCTATCCCTATAATAGATTGTGCAGGCCCATAGGGTTGTGAGACGTCGAGGTTTCCACATTATCTAGATAATCGGTTCACGCCTTACGTGCGTGACGAACGTTACGCCCCCCAGGCGTATTCCTGGTACACTTGGTCGACTTACGACCGACTTCCGTTCTGACTGACAGGTCGTAAGTCGATCTGTTCGTATGTAGGCCATATATTTATTAACAGCATTTTTTTTAATATTTCTAATCTTTTTATCATCTCTATAATTTATTTTTAAAAACTTTTATATTTTAATCATCTTTTATTTTTCATTTTTTTGGTTGTGGTCGTAAGTCGCATAGGTCGTAAGTCGACGACCAAGTGTACTCATTTCTGTTAGAGGCTGAGTCGACCCCAGGGCCATAGTGCGGCTGGAAGTATTAGTACACGGAATTACCAGCGGCATTCTTTACAATTTATTAAGCTCACTTAAAAAATTGGAATAATGAAACGTGAATTGGTGTAGGTCTGGGGCTTTCAACAAAATGTGTGGAACTCTTTACAGCGAAACACGAAGAATTCTATTTATGGCTTTACTCAACCCAGGCTGTATTACGAAAAAGAAACCCTAGTAGGCAGGTGTAATAACAACGCTCTAGACTTGTATTCGGATGTTGCTGGATTCGAATCTCAGCGAGGACACCTTCTATCTTGAGATTTCACTTGGTTGCCGTTAGCCTTTCCACGAAAATGGCGGAATAGTAACTCGAAAGAACTACGGCCACGTTCTTTCCGTTCCTCTTCATTTCGTTATTCTTGTTTTTTTTTTTTATTCTCATGGTGGTGTCCAATTGCGTCCACTCGGCACGTCGGGCACTGACTGGTCTATTGTACCTGCCCCCGGTGATTATGATGATGGAGAATTTGGTGGAATGAAAATTGGCAGGGGAAACATAAATACTCGGAGAAAACCTGTCCCAACGCCACTTTGTTCACCACAAATCCCACTTGACCAGACCCGGGTTCGAAACCGGGCCGCCGCGGTGGGAAGCCAGCGACTAACCGCTTGAGCTATGGTGCAGCCTATTTTCATTTACTTATTCCCTAGTCATTCTAATATTCAATGCTATATGAGACGCTGAATATTAGAATGACTAGGGAATAAGTAAATGAAGACGCTGCCCCCTCCTTGGTGTCTCCACCTTATCGTGGTGAGGGGGTTTGAGTATGCCAAGGACCCTGAGAGCTATACCAGCGGTAGCGTAGCTACTGGCAGGGCCTCCCTTGCTGGACAGATCAAAGGGTAGGCATCAGACGAAGAGAGACACCAAAAACCAAAAACTGATGCCGGAAGCAGCGTCATCAGCAGCGACTTGAAGCACAGAGCAAATGATGCTCGAGATGGTTCAAGTTCGTATAGCAACAGGCGTGACCAGAGTGGTTTGAACGGCTGTTGTACTGCGATGTGGAAAGCAAATGGAAAAACTACCACATTATCACTTTTCCTGGATAGTCTCTTTCCAAAAACAGAAGATCGCATTAAGTGGAGAAACTGTTTTGGAAGAGACTGTGGACCTGTCGTCTGACAGATTACTGATGATGATGATGATGATGATGATGATGAGACGCTGACCGTGTCATAAAATGAACGCCAAAAAAAATGTGGATAAATACGGCTGAATATTGCTAGATAATTTGAGATGAATACCTTCCATATCCAATTTGAAATAAAAAATCCGTAAAAAAGTTTATGGTAAACACAGAAAAGTCTACTTATGTCATTATGTAAAAGAGGCTTTATTGTGCATCAATATAGCAAAAATTGGGAGTTAAAGTAAAGTTGTCCTTAGCGGCCTCCGTAGTCTAGAGGTAACGTTCCCACCTCATGATTCGTGGTACGCGGGTTCAAACCCGGCGGAGGTCGTGGAATTTTTAAGGGCGGAAAAATTCAGGGAACAAGTCCTCCGGGAGGGACTTTAAGCCGTGGGTCCCGTGTCGTAGCTTTACGGCACGTAAAAGAACCTCATATCTCCAAAGGAGGTCATTGAGC